TACTTTGTCAAATGTTTCACTGCTATAAAATGCATGTGGACAGGGATTTTGAATAACTCTAGTAAAGCTGTATACATAATATTTTCTCTTCTACATTACTTTTCTACTGATTCATTGCTATCAAGAATACTAAGATTGATGCTGATGGTCTGTTTTTTTTTTTAATAAAAATAACCTTTAAATTCCTGAATTGCTGAGTGATACCATTTCTTTAAAACTCTCTAAACCTCGAAATTCATTAAATCATCCATGAAATGATTTAATAGAATACTTCAGAAATGTACTTCAGTTTTATCTTAAAATTTACCATTCATGCAGGACTTGCCTATTCTGATATATATAAACCTTGGATTAAAGGTTTAAAAATACAAACTTCCTTTCTCCCTTTAATCACTTTTTATTCTTAACAATAGTTAGCCTTAGCAAAATAAGGGAGTTAATCCAAATCTCACTGAAATTCACCAAATTCAATGGAATATGGGAACATGAACCTCAAATTTGTTTGAAAATACCAGCTTAATTTCCCAATACAGGTTCTTGGGCCAGTAAATGAGCTTCCCTTATTAACCTGTGTATGAGCCCTTCATTTTCAATTTAAACCAATTTTTACCAAAATAATCCCAAATTGTATAAAAAGTATTATTCTGGGTTTTCCCAATTTTCACCCTATTTTGAATTACATGTATAAAAATAACTTGCTTTATTAGGAAAATACAATATAATGTCTGAAATATCTGTATTACAATAATACACTAGTCTGTGTACATTTACAAAGCTACCTGTAAAAGTAAGGCTTTGTGGTAGTCTAGAAGATATACACAAACATACATGCATGCAAGCTCTGAAATGCTTACGGTTCTGAACATACTAAGGAATGAGACACCTAGCACATACTTGTTTAAAGGTAGTAGTAGATAAAAGATCTGACATACTAAAATAGTATGAAAAATGAAAATCTGTATCAGAATACATTTTCAGAAGGAAAAGTATTCAAAATTAAAAAAAAAAACTAAACAGGAGAATAGGATGAAGTTGAGTGTATGCATTGCAAATGGTGTGGCCCACTTATCATGAATTCCGTTAATCAAAGTATTAACAAATGGTGTGGCCCACTTATTACATGTAAATATTTATAGATTCATATTTCTACATCTACAACAATGAACTCTTATTTAAATGAAAAGTTTTATTTGGGCATCAGTGATGTATTGTTTTCTTAAATTCAGAGGTGGCATTGTGGTTTTAGTTCTGCAGCAAGCAATCATGAATTCCGTTAATCAAAGTATTAATCAACTGGATACTTTTTTCACATCCTTCCATCCACCAAAATAAACCCCAATATTTACCCATAAAATTAGCAAGTGTTTTGCATGATTTTTCATCTGTTTTTGTTGTATTAGTAATAAACACCAGTAGATTCGTGGGAAAAAGTAAATAAAATAAAAAATGGAAAATGAAGGGACCTACATATAGGCTACGTCTACACTGGCCCCTTTTCCGGAAGGGGCATGTAAATTTCACTAGTCGTCGTAGGGAAATCCGCGGGGGATTTAAATATCCCCCGCGGCATTTAAATAAAAATGTCCGCCGCTTTTTTCCGGCTTTTAAAAAAGCCGGAAAAGAGCGTCTAGACTGGCCCCGATCCTCCGGAAAAAGCGCCGTAGGAATAAGAGCCTCCGGAAAAGGGCACTTTTTCCGGAGGATCGGGGCCAGTCTAGACGCTCTTTTCCGGCTTTTTTAAAAGCCGGAAAAAAGCGGCGGACATTTTTATTTAAATGCCGCGGGGGATATTTAAATCCCCCGCGGATTTCCCTACGACGACTAGTGAAATTTACATGCCCCTTCCGGAAAAGGGGCCAGTGTAGACGTAGCCATACTGTTACATAGGGCTTTGTCCTGGAGCCTTCCTCACTTGGGGAGAAATGTGTAGGGCCGGTACAATGCCTATTTTGATTATTTAAATGGTACATAGTCTTTGTCTGACTCTCTGCACAACCATATGAATGTTGTGTTTAGTTTACCAAACACCTACACCTTTTCTCTTGATTGTCCTCCTGTTCTAAATACCTCACAATATGGCAAGGTATGCCTGAATAGAGATACAGCTACCTCCACTAACTTGGTCCTCCTATTGAACTATATGACCTCTGACAAATTGGACTTGGCTTCTCTATGCACCAAGTTTGATTTTTTTCCTAAAGATATTTCATTTAAACTTGGGGGGGGGGGGGGAACATTGTAGCTGAAGACATTAGGATACTTCGGTGGTGTCACTAGAAAAATTGGTAGTCTGGACAGGAGCACTTACATGTACAGTAGCCTTTGCTTATTAGGGAAAGTAAATCAGCTGTGATCCCCCTCCGTCCCAGCTATCAGAACACAGAGAGAACTTCAACTAGTGGCTCTAAAATGAGAAACTGAGGTGGAATAATTAAAAAGCAAATTCAAAGTGGAACTTTTAACAAAAAAAGTTATGGCATGTTCTAGGAATTAGTCTGGGTAAGTTCTCTGTCCTTTGTTATACAGGTCACAGTACATAATCATAATCATAAGACAGGTTATGAATTTCTTATTGATTCTTTCACAGATTTTTACTCATCTTTAACAGTATAAATTAATGCTTGGCTATCCATTCCTCCTCCAAATGGCTAGGTATATATGAAACTGAACTTTCATTTAAAGAAATGGACTCAAATCTTGTGTCTGCACAATAAGAGTTTGTGAAAAAAGAGAATTTTAATTGTAATATTAGAAAAAAGAAGCTGAATGGCCAGTATACACTTTAGGGATGTGAGCAGCATGTCAACTGCCCAATAAACCCTAATTTACACCAGTATAACTGAGATCAAAATCAGGCCCAAATGTTACCTAATTAAATAGTCTAGGAAGTAAGTTTGATACACTCTGGTTCATAGTAGCCAATGCTTTTGTTAGCTGTTAGATATAATTGTTTGTCTTGTTAAAAATCATCTCTGTCAAAGAAATCCCAACTATAAGCCAGATAAGTCAGAACCCTAGAACAGCAGGTAAATTATTTTCAAATATTTTGTATTTGTACATTAACACAAAATTAACTGAGAAAAAATAGCCCCTCCAACTCTAAGGAGCAACATGCCAAACACTAAAAGAAAAACTAGGCTCTTTAATTTATTATGGTGTAACCAGCTGTAAAGAATTATTGGTGTAAAGCACAGTGTGTAATTGTCCTATTCTAAACATTTACTAAAGCTTAAAAATCACAGCCGTCCCAAGAAGTGATGTCACTTGGCCAGCTGTGATCTCATTTTTTTTAAAAGTCTAAAATTCTCTGCAATTAATGCAAATATAGACAGCCTACAGCATTGGATTTCATGGATGTTGCATTTCCCTTCCTCAATGCCAACCACTTTGAGATCAGAAAAATTTGTGGTTCATTCGACCAACTGTATTTGCTTCCAGTTGAGTATGAAGTGGCAAAGATCTTCCCATTTGCAATCTAAAGGCAGTATATAATATTTTTTCCCCCCTCACACACGAGATGCTACACAGAATGAGGACAGTTTAAAGGATTTGATCCACAGCTACCAATGAGCATGACGCATAATGCAGAATAGCTATGCCAAAAAAGATTAAAAAGACTACTGGGAAAATAAATAGAAGGCTGTAATAAATTATTAGGCCATGCAGAATATCTATGGACTGTTTGACAGCTAATTTTGTTGGTGGTGGGAAGATTCAGGAGGTGCCCAATAAGGAAATATTTGGCATGGCATCGTCATTGCTTAGATTTATGGCATGGTTAACAAGCTGGCCACCACACAAGACAAATCAGCCTACCAGCTCTTACTCAATAATGACTTCAGCAGCCTAATGAGCAGCAAATGTACAGTCCCATTAATTGGGCAAGAGAGGAGGAGACGTGCACCCAAAACAAACAAGAGTGTGAGAAATCCCTTAATCTCTCTATCCATCAGTGCGGAGATAAGTTGTCCCATGTACATCATTGAGTGGGTGAGGTAAGGCAAAAGAGAATGTAATTTCATATATACGTGCAAACGTCTAATAGCAACAGAGAAAGTGTTCAGATCCAGATGATGGTTCTCTTGAATTTTGAGAGGATGTTGCGTCAACCTGCTCAATGTCAGCAGAGTATGTTAAATATGAGAATCTCAGTGCCACAGAGGATGCACTAAAAACCAGCACCTACAAGAGCTTAAATGATGGGCTTGTCCCTTACTCATCTGGCAGGAAATAACCCCCTTTCCTGGAAACTGCAGTGACTTATGCTTTCTTGTCAACAGTTCTCATGGATGCTGGTTCGGGTAGTGGACTATGTAAAGAGCTTAAAAACAAGGCTAATTCATGATTAAAACATTTCAATTTTTTTTATTGATTTATTTTTAGGTCAAAATGAATCTTAAAAAACCTGTTATATGAAGACACAACAAGTTCCTCCAGATGAATAACTACAAAGCATTAACAGCACAATCGCACATTTTTGAAGTGCTATTTGTAGAAATGCTGTATTTGTTTACAGTGATTTACAGCCTTGAACATGATGGCCAGAGAAAGTTATAATGCTATAACTCCATTTTTAATTTTTAATTTAACAAACAATATGGATAAGCATTCAGAATGTACACAAATCTTGTATGTAATTTCTGCATATCAAAAATATTACACATCTGTCAGACATACAAATCAAATATAATGTTTTTCAACACAAATTTCATATTGCCTAAACATAAATTTACAAAAAGACAGTCTATATTTTGCTCCCATATTTGCAGAGGCATTTGGTGAAATAAATGCTAAAAATTAGACCAATTCTGAACTTTAACCTATGCTGTGCTTATTTTTCACAACTTTGTTTAAAATGACTCAGTACATTCTATAAAGATATGTAAACAGTTCCAGTATAATGGATTAAAAATGAAATCAGCTAGATCTGGAATGGTCACTGCTCGTGTCTTCATTAACTCAATTTCCCTACTTATCCCTGAGCGCTTTAAAATTGTTCCCTCAAACATATCTGAAAAACATATCGATTTCACGAAAATGCCAAACGGCATTTGAACAGATATGTTTCTCAAGTCTTATTTTCCTCCACTAGTTTAAAAAACAAACAAGTTATTTCATGAATTGTCAGATCCTTCAAAAGAAAAAATGAAGAATTACTGCATCAAATATCTTCACCTACAGATACAGTACAGATTACAAAAATATTGCATAGGAGTGTTGATGGGCATAATCTCACAAGGTGAGAAAATGCTAGATTTTAAACAGAATATGGCAACAAATCTATTGTCCTTTAAAAATCAAGTAATTTCAAAATTGTACAAAATGGCCATAGCTGTTGGCTTTTTTTAAAGTCTTTGTCTTTAGAGTATGTGAAATCTCAGGTGCAGTAACAGTGGACCTGGGACCCTTCACAGTGCAGTGGAAAATGTCGTTTGAGGCAGAAATTACAATTCATCCTTCTTCTTCCCTACCCTTTCATGGTCTTTTTCTCTAAGGGTTCGCATGAAAGTGGCAAATCCAGACTCCTGTATTTAAAGAGAAAAAAATGTTGGTCAAATTTTTAAAATAAGACATCAAAACAATGATCCAAGTCTCCCAGCAGCAAGGCATCGATATAAACGTGAAATGTGAACTAGAGAACAGTCACAGCTTCTGTACTGTGCAATCACAATAGTGTGCTGGTGCAAGGTCACTCCAATGAAGTGGAAAAGGAAATATCCACAGAGGCTTTAGATGCATCCAGACTCATGAAAAACTGGCTACCGGGGAGGGGAAGCAGAATATAGAGACAACAATGTAATGGAGGAAAGAGAGCAGAGAGCTTCTCAGAAATTTTGTCAATGCTTTTTCATTAATAAACTCCGAAGCACATGAGTGCCATGTGAATATGCTGTATGCACCACCTCAAAGCCAGCTAAGCAGACAGACGATTGACACCCAGGAGCACAGAGATTTATCAGAATTCTTTATTTCAAGAGATTTCTCAGCCTGGACTGTCTTCAAGGGCTTCACAATTTTAGATCACAGCTACCTCCACATGGGCTTGCAGCACCACATGGATATAAGGGGCCTGCTTGTGCAGAATA